CTCCTCTCTCTCTCTCTCTCTCTCTCTCTCTCTCTCTCTCTCTCTCCTCCTTCCTCCCTCCCAGCAATGCAGAAATATGCATACAGAACAGAGAACAAAGATGTTTGCAGCTGCAATCACACCGCAATTTATACACTCAGGTATGTTTATCAGATGATTGATACACATGTAATAATACACAGTTACACACACTCTTTGTGCAAAGGCACTCAGATACACAGAGGCAATTCCATCTGTCTGGAATCCGATGCAGGCGCAGGCACACACACAGACATACGCACAGGCACACACATGTGTGCGCGTGCGCATACACACTCACATGCGGAGGCCAGGCTGGCAGGATGCTCACCCCTGCTCTCTGGAAGGGCAGCTCTGCAGCCACAGCTGCACTGGATTGAAAACACACTGGAGCAGAGGCCCTAGCCCAGCCATGCTCCAGCTCTCTGCTTTGTCACCAAGCTGCTTAGGCAATGTGGTGAGCCAGCAGAGAGGGGAGGTCCCAGCCAGGGGACCCAGGGTGCAGCAGTTGGGTTGCTCTCAACTCCAGCGTTCTCTGCAGCCAGACCCAGAGTTCTAGATTCCCATGGTTGCCCTCTCTTTATTTTGACATATAACTGATATACAACACTATATTAGTTTCAAGCATACAACATAATGATTCAATATCTGTGTATACGGCAAAGTGATCACCACCATAAGTCTGGTTAACATTCATCACCACACATAGTTACAAATCTTTCTTTCTTGTGATGAGAACTTTTAAGATCTCTTCTCTTTGCCCACCATTGCCCTCACTTGCTCGCCCTCCCTCCACTACAGTCCACCCGTGGCCGACTTGACACAGACACACCAGCGAGTGAGAATCTGGGAGCCCCCAGGCCCCGACATTCCCACGCCTCTACCTCAACTGGAGACCTCAGGGGTCATCTCCTGCCCAGTCTCCAGGATGGTGCTCTCCTCAGGCCTTCCTGGCACCCTTGCTGGACAGTGTTCAGAGTTTACAGTCTTAGGCCACCTGCTCCAAGCCTGGTGCTGCTCTGGGCCACATGCATGGTTCCTCTGTCATCTGAGATGCGTCCCCTGGGTCTGCCACCCACAGCCCTGTCAGCTGCTGCCCCTCCTTCTTGTCCTGGCTACCTCCCTCCTCTGGACTCCCCAAGCTGCCAGTGACCCTCTCACGGGACAGGGCTGGCCACTGCAGCCTGGGGTTAGATGTACCCCTCCCTAAGGAGGGACACCGGGCTCTTTTGGCCCAGCCACCTAAGTGGCTCAGGATAACCTGGTCACCAATATCCCCAGGCTCTCTGGCATTCAGGCTCTGCTGGGCGAATGGCTTTTGCAACTAATCTGAGGACAATTAAACTCTATCTTCTGACATTTATGGTGGTGCACTTGGGACCATTTTGCTAGAGCTTTCAGCCTTAGGGCCTCATGCAAGCCAATTAGCTCTTCAGGGCTTCAATTTGCTTATCTGTGAAATGGGACTAATAGTAACACCTATCTCCCAAACATTATTGTGACACATCAACAAATTTATATAAGTAAACTATAGAGTATGTCAGTATAGCTTGGCTCTCAGTAAGGGATATACATGTGTTAACTAGTATTATAATCTTACCACTTGTGTTCAGGTTTCGCACTGTCTTGCTGTCACCTCTACTCCCAAAGCCCTGTGTCCCATTCAAAATGGGAACGGCAGGCCAGCTGCACATTTCTTTGCTAATGACTAACATTTATTAAACACTCAGTATGTGTCAGGCACTCTTCCAAGCAATAAATATGCATTAACTCATTTCACCTGCCCAAACCTATGAAGTAGTTCCAAGCATTGTCCTCATTCCATAGCTGAGGTGACGGAGGCACAGAGAGGCTAAGCAACTTCCCCAAC